GAGGGGCCTGGGGAGCAAAGAGAGGAGACAAAGGTCCACAGGGGCCTTCTGGGGGCCCGACTTTTCATCAGGGCCTCTTGGGAAAAGACAAGGGGCGATGGGTTTAAGGTGAAAGAGGGAGATTTAGATTACCAGGAAGAAATTTGTGACGCTGAGGGTGCTGAGCCCCTGGCCCAGGCTGCCCAGAGAGGTGGTCGCTGCCCCATCCCTGGAACCATCCCAGGGGAGGTTGGGGGGGCTCTGAGCACCCTGCTCTGGCTGCAGATGTCCCTGTCCCTGCAGGGGCTGGACTCTGATCTCCAAGGTCCCTTCCCACCCAAACCAGTCTGTCTATTCTCCGATTTTACAGCTGCAGCACTGAAGTCAGGGTTTCCGGGGCAATGGTGCTTGTGAAAGTGGAGTGGGAGAAGAGGTTTGAATGCATCCCACACTCCTGTCAGCACGAGGTGCAGAAAGCAGGCTCCAAATCACCTCTGCAGACCTCACTCGTGTCCCCTACCTTCAAGAGACTGTGCTATTCACCCAGGTAGATATAGAAATGCTGCTATTTGCCTTAAAAGCAGACACACGCCCAGCTTTTCAGAGGGCCCATTGCCTCCCCTTGCCCATTCCCTGCCCCATCTCCTGCCCACGGTCACGGAGCAGGATGGAGGCAGCGATGGCTGTGCTGTGGATGGAGGGGACTCCTGGCACGAGTCGTCCCTCAGGCCCAGCTGGCTGGGGACAGTGCAGGTCCAGCTGCAAAACACACGGTTCCATTTTACTGGTGGAGAAACAGGGAAGTGCAGTGAAGTGCTCGGGCCAATGTGTGGCTCCAGCAGGTTGTGGGTCCTCTCCTCCCCTAGAGCTCTGCTGACCCGCTGGGTCTGGGGCAGATGTGCTCTGTTGGATCTCCCCGTGGTGGTTTCAGGGGCCACTGTCTCCAGCTGCAGGGCTGATCATGTTTGGTCATGTTCTCAGCCTGACACAGGGACATAAAGGGGACCCTTTGTCAGTGGACCCCACATGTCTGGGGCACAACCCCTGTCCCTCTGCCTGGGCCCTGCCACCCACCAGATTCACACGATGCTCTGGGTTCCTGGATCAGACAACAGGGGCTCGCTCCCTCTGACCACCCAGGATCTCACAGCTCCCCATCACACCCACACCCCTGCAGCTCCCCCAGCCTGGAGAGGCACAGGATGTGCCCTCACTCTGATCAGCCAGATCCCCTCCTGGAACATTTTTCAGGCAACAGTTGGCAGGTTCTTGTGAGTAGTTACCACCACCATTAGCAACTCCCCAGCTCCACCCCGAGTTCCTGGGTGTGGGGTGGCTGCACCTCCACGCTGCCCACAGAAGCTGCCAAAACCCCTGCGAGGACAACCAGAGCATCTGAGCATCTTCCCTGCCTCAGTCCCGCCCACTCGTGTGTGCCCACAGGGACAGATGGGGCATTGTCACCCCGAGATCCAGCCCGGATCCAGCCAGGACACCAGCGTGCAGATGCCCCCAGGCAGGACAACACATCTTTAATGCTTCAAAGGGCTTGCAAGAGATGCAACAACGGGCAGAGGGGATCCGTCCCAGGCAGAGCTGCAGTGAGCTGGCTCTGACACATCATTCCCACCCCCCCTGCCTCCTCAGCTAGCCAAGGGCACGGGCCCCGCAGCGTCCGACCCGTCAGCCCAACATCTGGATGGAGGTTTTTTCTGACTGGAGCCAGAAGTAGGGGAAGACCCTCTCGGTGAAGAAGGCCTTCAGCTGCAAGATCTGCACCTTCCTCCCCACGTCACAGAAGGTCACTTTGCCCGCTTCGTAGTCCAGGTGGATGTCGATCACCCTGGGATCCTCCTCCAGTGCCAGCAGGGCCGGGCGCACGTGGAGCGCCCAGTACTGGTGGTTCCAGTCCAGCTGCAGGGCCCAGATCTTCCTCATGGCCCTGGCGAGCGAGCTCCTCCTGGGCACGGACTCCACGGCCACCCCCATGGCCCAGCAGCCCCC